AACACACTTCTGCAACTTTGCTTGCCATGATATAGCTCCCCCTGAAAAAGTAAACAAATATCAAGTAGAGGATTTTCTGTTATCAAGGTCACCTGCCATATCAGAATCTGTATAGCCTTTCAAGATTGGATTTGATGCTCCAAAACACAAGCATTCATCTGAGCTTCCTCTAAGATACCTGAGTATCCATTTCACAGCTTCCCAATGCTCTTTTCCCGGATTTTCGAGAAATCTACTGACAACACCAATTGCGTGAGCAATATCAGGTCTAGTGCACACCATACATTAGACTTCCGACAATGGAGGAATATGGAACATTGGCCATGTTCTCTTTTTCCTCCCTAGCTGTAGGACACATCTTCTTGCTCAACTTCATATGACCAGCAAGAGGTATACTCACAGGCTTCACATTCTTCATATTGAAGCGCTCCAATACGCATTCATTGTACTTCTTCTGGGACAAATAAATCTTCCTTTTATCTCTAAGACGAGTAATTCTCATGCCCAAAATTTGCTTGGCATGACCCAAGTCTTTCATTGAAAAAGACTTACACAACTCTTTCTTTTAGCTCGTCAATCTTGGAAGTATTTTTGCCCACAATCAACATATCATCCACATACAACAAAAGGATGATAAAATCATTGTCAGAAAATTTTTGTACAAATACGCAATGATCTGAAGAAGTCTTCTTATAGCCTTGCTCCCCCATAACATATTTAAACTTTTTGTACCACTGTCTAGGAGCTTGTTTTAGGCCATAGAGACTCTTTTTGAGTTTGCATACAAAATTTTCTTTACCATCTACTTTGAAGCCCTCAGGTTGTTCCATATAAATCTCTTCTTCTAGGTCACCGTGAAGGAAATCCGTCTTCACATCCATCTGCTCAATCTCTAAATTAAGACTAGCAGCCAAACCTAGAAATGTGCGAATCGAGGACATTTTCACAACAGGAGAAAATATTTTGTCAAAGTCAATACCTTTCCTTTGACCGAATCCCTTAACAACCAATATAGCTTTGTACCTGGGCTTCAAGTTGTGTTCTTCAACTTTAACTTTGAACACCCACTTGTTCTTCAAAGCTCTCATGCCCTTGGGCAATTTTACCAACTCATAAGTGTGGTTCTCATGCAAAGACTTCATCTCGTCTTGCATGGCTTCAATCCATTGATTCTTGTGCTCATCTTCCATGGCCTCCTCATAACATTCAGGTTCTCCCCCGTCAGTGAGTAACACATACTCATTGGGTGAATAACGGGAGGAAGGAAACCGTTGTCTTGTGGACCTCCGAAGCGGAATATTTGATTCGTCCACAACTTCATGAGCAACATGATCATCAATAACAATATCATTGTTATTATCAACATCAACATGTTGATTCGATACATGATTCTGGTGTCACCATGATTATCAAACCCAACAACATCATGCACACTTGTGTGAGGAACTTCATCATGATGAACTATACCATCAAAATTTGAAGATTCTACCTTCTCCACTTTGTCAATATCTTCAATTGTTTGATTCTCCATGAAAATAATATCACGGCTTCTCACAAGTTTCTTTTCAATTGGATCATATAGCTTGTAACCAAATTCATCTACGCCATATCCAATGAAGATGCATTGCCTTGTCTTGGCATCTAATTTTGACCTCTCATCTTTCGGCACATGTACAAAAGCTTTGCAACCAAATACTCTCAAATGGTCATAGGAAACATTCTTTCCATACCAAACACTATTTGGTACATCACTTTGCAAAGCAACAGCAGGAGATAAATTAATAACATGTGCAGCGGTCAATAAAGCCTCACCCCAAAATGAGTTTGGCAACTTTGCTTCACAAAGCAAACATCTAACTCTTTCCATCAACGTCCTGTTCATCCTCTCAGCCAAACCATTAAGCTGGGGAGTCTTGGGAGGAGTCTTCTGGTGTCTAATACCTTGATGCTTGCAGTATTCGTCAAATGGTCCACAATATTCACCACCATTATCAGTACGAATACATTTCAATTTCTTCACAGTTTCTCTTTCAACTGAAGCCTGAAACTGCTTAAAGACACCTAACACTTGGTCTTTAGTCTTCAAGACATAGACCCAAAGTTTTCTCGAGCAATCATCAATGAAAGTGACAAAGTAAAGTACATCACCCAATGTCTTTGTCTTCATTGGACCACATAAATCAGAGTACACTAACTCAAGCAACTCTGTCTTTCTCGAAGGAGGGTAGGACTTAAAGGAAACTCTATTTTGTTTACCAGCCAAGCAGTGCTCACATTTTTCTAATTTAGCACTTTGGAAATTTGACAATAATTTCTTCTTGGCTAGAGCATTAAGTCCTTTCTCGCTAATGTGGCTAAGCCTCTTGTGCCATAATGTTGAAGAGTTATCGCTCTCAACCGCATTCACCATATCAACACAAGCAGAGGCCGTAGTCCAGTATAGACCACGGCGTTTGTTACCACGAGCCACAACCAAGGAACCCTTAATGAGCTTCCATTTTCCATCACCGTTGGTACTAACATATCCTTCATCATCTAAAATACCAACAGAAATTAGGTGCAGATGAACATCAGGAGCATGTTTCACATTGTTCAAAACTAGTTTAGTTCCAACACTAGTTTCCAAACAAATTGTACCAATACCAACCACCCTAGAAACAGTCTCATTACCCATACTCAAGGTTCCAAAATCACCAGGAGTGTAGGAAGAGAAAAAATCCTTCCTTGATGTCACATGAGATGCGGCACCAGTGTCCACAACCCAGATTGACTCATCACAAGCAATATTTATCATGTTTGCATCAAGAACGGTAACAAGATCTTCGGTGGTGACGGTGGCTAGGCAGTTTTCATTGCCATCTTCTTTAGTTTCCTCTTTGTTTTTGTTCTCCCTTTTCAACTTCCTGCAGAACTTCTTTGTGTGCCCTTTCATGCCACAATGATAGCACTCAATATCCTTAAGTCTGCCATTGGATTTGCTCCTATTTTGTTCTCTATGCTGAGAACCACGAGTTTTATTTCTCCCCCTGGGGCCAGTTATCAGGACATCCGATGAAGAGGAACCTTGAGTTTTTCTTCTCATCTCTTCGTTCAAGACACTACTTTTGGCGGAATCCATAGAGATTACACCATCCAGAGCAGAATTTGACAATGACGTTCTAAATGTTTCCCAAGAATCTGGTAGGGAACCAAGAAGAAGCAAGCCTTGAATTTCTTCATCAAATTTGATGCCCATAGCAGATAATTGGTTCATAATCCCCTGAAAATTATTCAGATGGTCTGTCATCGGAGAACCATCATGATACTTCAAACTCAACATCTGCTTTATTAAGAACATTTTGTTGTTGCCAGTCTTTCGAGCATACAAACTTTCAAGATGCTCCCAAAGGGTTCGAGCATGTGTTTCTCCAGAGATATGGTTCAACACATTATCGTCGACCCATTGCCTAATGAATCCACAAACCTATCTATGCAACAGACTCCACTCTTCAACTGTCATATTATCAGGCTTTACAGTGGTAAATACTGGTTTATAAAAATTCTTAACATAAAGCAGATCTTCCATTTTTCCCTTCCAAATGGCATAATTAACACCATTCAAATTAACCATTCTACGGCTTCCATTGTTTTCCCCAAAAAATATAGTTATCGCAAATCAAAGTAAATCTTTTCTGATGTGGAAGTTCAGACTGTGCTGCAACCACAGAGCATACTCAGATAAAACCTTGGCTCTGATACCAATTTGTTGGGAAAACGCGGACAAGCACAAAAGTATATATGGTAAAAGTAATGGAAATAAAATGAGAAAATAACGACACCAAAGAATTTTACGTGGAAACCCTTCTGAATAAGGGGAAAAAACCACGGGCCAAGAGAAGCAACTGATATTACTATAGTAAGGAATTTTATACTGTGTAGTCCGACTACAACACTCAAAGTGACTACTACACACTCAAAAGGAACAACACTCTTTTGGTTTCCGTCTTACTAAAATATCGCTCACACTCTATTTTTCTTCACAGACTATTTTCTTATATAGTCTATGGAATACCTCACTTTGCTCTCAAAATGGTTTTTCTCTCTAACTTGGTGTGTTCTACAAATGAGCAAGAATGCTCTATTTATAGAAGGATAAAATCATACCTATGTCACTAATGACATATGTAAACATAGCAAAGTAAAAAATGGTTGCAAATCTTACCAATTTGCCAACTACCAAATCTTTTCTTTTCAACTCCAATTACTATTCATTTTTAACAATTGCTTGTACCAATTGAATAGCTAAAGTTGACTAAAACAATGGGATGGATTCAACAAAGACCCATAAGCATTGGCAATCAAAAGTCAGTTGAAGCTTTGGATTCAAATCAAATGCTCATAAATTTGGTTGACAATAAGTCTAAAATTTATAGCTTTGACAAGGTTTTCCATCCTTCTTCCTCACAAGGTATATACTCTCTTTTAATATTACATTTATATCAACTAAACTGAAACCTCTTTCTCAATTCCATTGTTGCATCAGTATACTTTCGTAATATAAATCATTTTTATTTTAAAATAAAAACATTTCTCTAGCAACTATATATAGAGAGTTCATTACTAAATAAATTGTCATTTAATTATACAAATTACCTTATAAAGTTATATTTCTTTTATTTTATTTGTAATAGAATAGAAAATTTACTTAATTATGAATATATTACTTAGTGTGATTCTCTCTCAACCCTTTTTTTTTTATAATAGCCATTTATTATAGCAATATGTTCTTGGTAAAACTACTCCTACATTTAACAATCCTCTTCAAATATTTGTGTGATAATATTTTGTATAGCAATAGAATATAAAAATATTTATCATAGTCAACATTCATACTCTTTCTGTTTTTTGGTTAAGTTGGTTAATTTTATTTTCTTTGTACACAAAATCATTAAACTATTCTTTTGTTTATACAATTAGCTAAATTACTGTGACCTTTAAAAGTTAAACTGTATTTGAGAATGCGCTTCAATTTTATAAGTGCTCAAATCAATTTTGTCTCCTCCATATTAGAGACAATAATTTTTTAGGAGGATGTTGTAACTGACAATCCTCATTGTCTTTCTATTTCTCTGGTTTACAAAATAATTTTGATAAAAAAGGTGAAAATCTATACCGTGAAGAATTTTGTCTCACCTACGTTCTTCTGGGTGAAATCAGAAACCCTAGGAACATAAATTATGACCACTTAAAATTCGAGCCAATTGAAAGTAAAATTAAGGTTAGAATCTCAAAATTACACAAAGCACAGAAAACAAATCACACAATTAGGTTAAGGACAACAGCAAAATCACACTTAAAAAGTTAATCAACTTATATTGAAGGTAAACGTGTATGCTGCAGCAAGATAAAAGAAACCCCAAAATGTAAATAATCTACTAGTTTTATAGATTAAAAGATAAAAACATAACAAAATAAAGAGGATGAAGACTCCTAGAATTACTTGGATGGTATTGTTCGACTATTCCTTAGCATCCTTTTGAATCATGACAAAAAGGGATGAACATTCATAGAATAAGACAGTTTTTTCCTTCATTTGAAGTTGGGGACAAGTGCTCTTAATGGTTTTAAATAAATAAAAAAACCCTTCATTTAGCTGTATTATTACTGAGCTAGTACTCAATTTGTGGAAAAGAAAAACGAAATATTGTTTTCAATTTAATGAACCAATCCAGGACATATACAAAGTGTCATATTTTCTTCAATTCTGATGATAAAAGAAACTGAATATTGCAAATAACACAAAATGCATATAGCTTCTCTGGTTCATTATGCAAACCTGAATGTTGGTTTCTTATGGCAGGTGAGGGTGTTTTCAGAAATAGAACCAATTATCAAGTCCGCGCTGGATGGCTATAACGCCTGCATATTTGATTATGGACAGACGGGCACAGGGAAAACATTCACAATGGTACACATCCTACTGTTTTAACAAGCAAACAAAAAATCTTATCAAAAATGTATTACTTAAACCATGTTTGGTTTTCAGAAATCAGAATATATAAACTACTATTACAATCTTAAGTTATGTGGAGTTCAATTTCAGAAACCGAATGTTAAATTACTTTATACCATGTAGAGAGTGGAATATGATACATCAACCAGAGCATCTACAAACAAGAATGCCCTTAACTTAGGTAAACAAGAAATTATGCATTAGTATTCACTGCATAACAATCTCTATGAACTATTATTCATCACACAAACAACTCATAACCAAATTGAATACACAACCGCTTCTTAGGATTACTCAACTTACAGCACAGTTAAATGAGAACCAGTAAGCAAAATTAGCAGGTGGATTTCACCAAGAGAGTTTATTATAAAATTTTGGAAAGTATTTGGTTGCATTATCTAAGTACAATGTTTTCGGTAACTACGCCTACCAGGAAGGCACAGAGGAGTTTCCAGGGGTTGTACCCCGTGCGATTGAGGCACTTTTTAAGCACGCTGCGGACAGTAACCATGCATTTCTCTTCAGTTTCAGTATGCTGGAGATATACATGGGCTATTTAAAAGATCTCCTCACCCCACATAGTCAGACTACAAAGTCAATCTTCCCTTTACCACCATGGTAAGTCACAGAACTAACTTGTGAATTTGTTGTTTGATTGCACAGCTTGCATGCTTTACTGACATCGCAGGTCACCATTCCTAGTGTTTATTGTTGACAGATATAGCAAGCTGATGCAAGTTCTTGCGTCAACTTGCTATTCCTGTCAAATGAACCTAGTCTACTTTACGATCAACACTTCATTCTGGTCCACTTCCTACTTTCTGGACGAGGTTAGCTACTTTCTCATGTAAATTATAATTTTTGCGTGCAGTCTTTCAATACAAACACATCCCAATGGAGAAACCGAGATTGAAAACCTTGTGACCATCCAAGTAAATGACATGAACCAAGCCATGAGACTGTACAAGTTAGGATGTGGTTTCAGACTGCTTCCACAAATTCCAACCGAACATCAAGCAGATCTCATTGGTAAACCAATTCGTTTTTTATATAAAAATGTTAAGTAGAAAGATTATTAACTTTTATCTAGTCCAGCTAAATGACTATTGTTGAAGTGTGCAACTATCTCATCTAAAAGCTTAAGCTGTTAGAGAGAGCATACATTTATTATTTAATTGTATTCTCAACACGCTCCCTCACGTGCGAGTCTGATTCATTTTAATGGGTCAAGCACGTGAAAATTCTATTTGATATGGGTGGCCGTGAGATTCGTTCGCAGGATCTGTGTCTACTCTAGTATTATATTAAATAAGGTCTTGGACCTAACTCACACCCCAAAAACTAGCTCAAAGGGAGGAGGATTATTTGTTTTGTTTTTTTCTACTTGTACAACAGAAATTTTAAAATAGTTCTCCACAATGCTGCCATTCAGTTATAAATTCTCAAACTGCACTAGGTGGCAATAATCAGTTCTATAGACCTAATTTTACATGGTACCATAGCAGGGCTTGTCTCACCCAATGTTGGGCCCTCGAAATTAAAATTGTCCACACACCAAATGCTAAACACTGGGCGTGAGGTAGGGTATTAAAGAATGACAAAAGTCTCACATTAACGGTTATTGAGATGGGTGGACTCCTAATAAGACTTGGGCAATCTTCCTCCCTTTGAGCTAGCTTTTGGGGTTTGATTTAGGCCCAAGACCTAATTCAACAACTATGATTAGAAACACGAACCTAATAAAGAGATGTCTATGTAGCTATATTGAATCTGTTCCAGGTTTTGAAGGATAATTCTGAACAATATAGATCACAGATCTCAAAGGTGTCAAAACTCTAAACAAGTTTCCTGTCTGCTCCATGCAGCATGATTCGCATATATATTTCCAGCATTAGTGCTGGTAAACGGAGAAGGTTAACAAACAAACTGTGGATGGTCGACCTTGGAGGAAGTGAACGTGTCCTAAAAACAAAAGCACTGGGGAGAAGATTTGAAGAGGGAAAATCAATTAATCTCTCACTTTCTTCCCTTGGAGATGTCATCCATGCCCTCCAAAGTAAAAAGCGACACATACCTTACAGGTAACTCAACAAATATGGCGTTAGATACCAGTACCTGACTCAAGGAATCAAGCGGATGCAAATCCAAGACAAATAATTATAGAAGTTTCACCATTAGCTCAAAGCTGATCCTGATCCTGATCCTAATGTTTACTGTTGACAAGAATAGCAAGCTGACGCAAGTTCTTAAAGATTCCCTAGGTAAGCATGTATCTTAGCTGAATGTTTATATGTCAGACTGTTTGACCTATGCTTAGTCCCTATGTTTTTTTGCATGTTACCTGCAAATTGGGATTAAAGATGAAACTGAAATGGGTCCACTACCTTACACTGTTACACATTAGTTTCTTCAAGTAAAAGATACTGATGGCTTAATATAACATTTTCATTCAAATTCTTCATTGACAAAAACAGAACACTTATATTGCTGGTCCCACATCCAGTGATGCTTATGGTAGAAACTTAACATGAAATAACCAAAAAAGAAGAAGGAAGTACAGAAAACTTTATTGGCAAACAGAGAGGCATACTCGAGTGGATCGTATGCTGAAGTGAAGGAAAGCGAAGAATTCAAATGAAGTGAGTTTAAATATGCTACTGGAGGAGTGGTAAAAATGTAAAAAGATTTTACATTTAATTAAGCTGCTTAATGAATGTCAAACTGAAACAGGAGACCTACTTTAGCTTGAGCATCTTCACCATCGATCTCTGAAGCAGCATAAAAATGCTCTGACCTATAGCTAGAGTCAAACAACACCCTGCATTCACGGACTGAAACAAGAACAACATCATGCTCTGAAGTAAAGCACATCAAAGAGTCTGCAAATATTCACTATTAGACTTCTTCATACGTCTAGCGTAACTTATGTAGTATGACTAAGACTTACTTTATGGGAGTTGTTTAATCGATCTCCTGGCCTTTCTTGTGGACATCATTTTCCTAGATGGTGAGAAAAAAGGAAAGAACGAAAGTGCTGAAAATGAATTAGAAATGGGACAAAGGAGACAGCAATAACTGAACACTTTCAGTGATTTGCGTTTTTTTCCAGCTGTTTTAGACTTTTAGCGAGCTTAAGGAATTCCAAAATGTGGATTAAAATACTAGAATTAAACATAGGCTTGGTATGCAATACCATCCTCTACCACATAACCGATTCAATCAAAAAAATTGTAAAACCATACCTTTTCTCAGTCTAACCTTGCTGTAAGTGCAGCTCGTAGGATGGGGCAAAGAGGTAAGTGGAAAACTCAACATTCAATCTTAGAGGACAGAGAGATTGAAATGCTTGTACATACATATGTCTACATATGTTCTTGTTGGTCTTCTTTGCATATTAGAAGCAGAAACCAGTAGCATGAGCCTAAGAAGGGAGACCTATGGACCAGCATCAGTCAGTAGGTTAAAATATCATTGAGAAATGTACAATGCGTGGAAATAGAACACCCCAATTTCTTTGATGTTCCTGGTTGTTCTAGTAACTTGAACCAAGTAAATTCTTATCTTGTTACATATTTTTTGTACTCATTGGACTGTCAACAAATGTTTTTCATATGCAGCATGCAGCATTTAGAAATTATGCTTGTGAGTCACATGGACACTTTCCATTTATCACTTAACATGCAAAATCTAGACTAGTAGAAAATTTCACATTTTCTTCACTCCGTTTTAGTATGATCACACCAATTATGCCAGACATTTCGAATTTATCACTTCACATGCAAAATCTAGACAAGTGGATGACATTTTCTTCACTCCTTTTTAGTTAAGTCACACAAATAATGCCAGAATTTCATGTGCTTTCTTAATATCCAGGTGATGATTCTAAAACACTAATGCTGGTTCATGTTTGTCCCCATGAAGAAGATTTGTGCGAGACATTGTGTACATAAAATTTTGCAGCACGAGCCAAACGATCAAACGAAGAATCAACAGTAAGTCACTGAAACAATCAACTGAGCCTAGTACTGGTAATCATGCAACTACTTATATTATTATGAGATACAACATATATCCTTTTTTTAAGAATGACACACAATATCTCTCTTTTCATTTCTTATCATGTAATTGATTGGTTATTACTAGTTCAATATGTTGTCCTGATTGTCCAAAAGTACTGGAAAATTCCAATATGATGTACATCAACTTCAGTACAAAAATACTTGCTGAAATCACAACCACAAACAACCTTAGTAGGAATGTGAAATATAGTCATTTATTAATGGCATGGAGTCATCGATACAAATAAGATCTTTTACTGATTCAAATTTCAACCACAGAAGTGAGTAGACTAACATCTTCATAATCCATATGCATACCGTGAGTACATTTGGCTCCACCTGATCTCATACTGAAACTGCTACACAGGGAACATGCTTATTTGATCTTTTTATGTTTTCAGTACACCCCTTTTTTCTTGGCTAAGTTATTTTTCTAAGACCCTAAGGCCTATAGGACATTTGAGTATGGTGAGATGATAAATTTAACAGGAATTGAACAGCACATTAGGAAACAGATGGTTAGGAGCTAATGTTAGTTGAAATGAGAGATACCGAAGTTAAAGTTGAACTGAAGGCTCTTTGACTTGGTATTTAACTTGTATGAAAGATAAGTTGCAGCTCTTCTAGATTGGACGGACCTACATGATTCAAAAGTGTTGCATAAACATAAGAGGAAAAACCATTAGGAACATATATGGTCCTAACAAGTTGAAGTTATTAAGACAAAGCCTTTTAGGGAGAAAAAGGGAGATGATTAAATCTAGAGATAATTTAACAATCTTTGTGCTAATGAATAACATGTTGCCATTCTCAAAAAAATAAGTTAGTGATTATAAAACAACAATTCAGTTAAAAAAAAATTGATTTTTTATTTTTTTTGCCATAATAATGTTTTTAGCTTCAAGCAGGAAAGTAAAAAAATATACACGCTCATGACACAAGCACAAGAGGAATTTCCTGATATACATAAATGATTAACTCTTTATACATGATATGCCATTATGAAGACATAATTAACATTTAACGGCTTGTTCATCCAAAAGATAAGGAATTGGCTGTCTTACCTCGGAATCCAGATGCAAACTTCCTGCTCTTTCATCACTGCTTCTCTATTTCTACAATGACATGTTCAATTACAGGAAGTTAAGGCAGAAAAGGAAGTTGCAATAAATAATCTGCTGCAGAAGATGAACCAAATTGAGTACAACCCAATGATGTCACACAGGAAATCAAGAAGCTGAATGAGAAACTAGGAAAGCTTACAATAATATCACCACCCTCTTTAACTGAACTATTGGGTCTCTCAGAAGTATGCATTGAAGGGTTAGGGTCTAACATGAGATTTCAGAAAGATAGTGTCACATCTACCCCTTTAGCAGACTTCCCTAGATTCATGAGGCCTACTGTTTGTAGCCGAAGTAAATCAAGAAATGCTGGAGTAGAATTCCAAGCTTTAAAAAGTAGATCCTCGCTTCCTCCTAGAAAAGGGAAAGGATCCACTCATTGTGCCAAGTCTGTGGATGTCCCTATAGAAGGAGCATCAGAATGCTACTCAGAGAGCAGTGTTTCCAAAACTATCTGCCTTATCAGTCCAACTACGAAATTCAGTGCGGATAATGAGATAGAATTCAGCGAAGACACATCTGATAGTGACACTAAGGTGGCAGATTTTGCAAAACAACATCTATCAGAAAGAGGTTCTATACACAAAAAGTGTAATTTGAGACTCAGCAAAAAGAACCACGCAAATACAATGGAAAGAATATCAACCCAAAACCACTCAAAGGTTGATAATTGGCTTCAACTGCACAAATGTGCAGCAAATATAAACAGTTCCACTCATAAGAACAAAAGAATTCTTGCGATACCAATTCCAGAGAATAAAGCACGGGTCAGGGGCAGAATTGTGGCAGATTTACATGAAGAAAAGGTCCCAGGCAAGGGGTTGAGAACAAGAAACACGAAGCATAGAGATGCAAAATTAGTTGATATGGAGAACCATTTGAGCTCCGAGTTAGAAGAAGTCAATGTGTCTCATGCAGTTTTTAAGCACTTTATCGCTTATGAGAAGTCATATTCAGCATGTACAGCCTGCAATATTGATGCAATAACTCTGAATGGAACACAAGGTCAGGTACTCGATTCAACATTTGAGGTCAGTGGACCTGCTGATTTGAATGATCTTAAACTGATCATGCCAGACATTGCATATCAAGAGACAAATAATATCTCAGCATCTAAGGTCAACAGCCTTAGCATAGGCCTGATAGAGAGTCCCTCAAGCTCAAAGAAGAAACCAAACTACGAAGAAATGCATGATATGGAAGAAAGTAACTTAGAGAATATGCATGTCCCTGGATGTGTTAGAGAAGGAACAAAGCCCTTCCACTATGACTTAAGATCTCCCAGCGCTTTGTCCATTTGCAAATCAAATCAAATGGATTATTACCTTGTTCCCAAACCACTAGACAACAGCAGAACTGGAGGTAAGATTTTTGAGAAAAAACATCTTTACTTTTTTGAGTCAGTATAAAGTCTTTTGCGATAAACAAGAAAAAGGAGATTGCCTTCTTAGTTTTTAACTTCAGCATAATCTAAGTATACGTTCACTGTCTTATGAATTTTTCAAATTGCATCTTCACAGGGTTCCTTAGCCTTTTGAAACCAAAAGTACACATCTTATATAGCAGCGCTCTTGCCGCATTGGGATTTGCAAGCCTAGGTCTTGGGCATGACTTCTTCTATGCTTTGACTCTCTAAACAACTGACCTATGACATGCCAGACATGATGCACATTTGGAGTTTTCCTTTCAAAAACTAGGTACCAAGTGATGCTGTATTTCATCCAAGAGATAAAGATAGATGTTCATTGGCTGCTAGGCAACCGTGAGAGGTTATAATCTCATTCCCAAGCTCAAATTGTTCATAATGCAGGAATTACATATGGAAGGTAACAAGGTCTCAACATGTGTAGTGGTGGTTCCTTTAAGTGCCATCTCATGACTCTCCAAATCAGGGTGAAAGGTCACCATATGTACACGTACCAAATATTTAATCCCATGAGTTAAACAGTAAATTCAACTCTTTAGAACGTTAAATGTTTTCCGAGATGCATCTTACTATTTTGTTTTAGTATTCTTAAAGTATTGTAAGATACCAAAAAGAAAGGAAAAAAGTCCTAATTTGTCCCTCAACAAGTTACTTTTGTTTTATTATGCCTCCATTAGAAGTTGGCAACAAAAACCCCTCGTCGTTATGCATACACCCTTATTCTGTATGATAGTTCTAGTTTGCTAATATTATCAAAGCTGGAGCTGCATAACTACCAGGTGTGAGGACATGTGAAAACAATTCTCGTTGACCCTTACATGAATTTCACCTAAATCTCAAAAAGAAATCTAGCCTAAGGTAGACCAAATCTTCTATTAACTTTAAATTATGCATTCAACAACAAGCTATGTGCATCCAACTAGATAATGCACTACAGTTTCATGAAATTACGGTAAACTATAACAGTGCAGAAGCAGTATGTAACAGAGATCAGCAAGTTGTATATACGAAAAATTTAAGCAAAGTTAACAAGAATTCCAGATAAAAAAATAGTGCCTGGGCTAAGAGACATGTCAAGGACTGCATTTGGTTTGTTCAACCTGAGTCACTGAGAAGTGCTAATGACTTGTTCCTGACCATACCCCAAAACTGAGAAGGTTGAAACTGGGAAGCTCACTCCTTTAATGGACAAATACATAGACAGCCCCTTAAAGTTCTCATCTCTTTTCATGTAGATACCTCAACTGAAGTATTCACCTATTAACACTTTAGCCTCAATCAATGTGTGCATATTAAACACAGTGTGCTGGTATGGCATGCTGAATTTTACCCCTTTCTGTAGTGCACTAAGGGCCTATTTAGATGGGCTTATAAAAAGTAACTTATAAGTCAAAGTTAAAAGTCATAAGTAGATGCGTTATGGACGGCGAAAGGTGAAAAGGTTATGGTGAGGCGCTCACCTTTTTGAAGTGTGGTGGCAATTAATACCAAAATTTTAAATATTTAATTGCATACATAAATAATCGAATCTCAATAGCAATAACAAATTACCCAATATTTCAATTCAAAACCTGAAAATAGATAGTACATACTAAAAGTCTAGAACTTGAATGAAAAAAAAAAAAGTCAAAACGCTGAGAAAAAAACAAGGTAGAAGTACTCTAAAGTCTGAAAAAAAAGAAGGAAAAAGAAACAGAGGAAGGAGAAAATAGAAGAAATCTGAAGAAGAGAAGAAGAAGAAGAAGAAGAAGAAGAAACAGAAGAAGAAGAAGAAGAAATTAGAAGAAGAAAAGAAGAAATATGTATTGATTGGACTTTGGAGTCGCCGGAGAAGTCTAGCTGAGCCGACTGGTTGGAGCCGTAGTTGTAGTCTATGAGTGCAACTAAGCAAATTTAGAAAGATAATCCTAAAATTACCTTTTGACTTTTAAAACCCTAAATTGGTCGCTTTATTTTAAGATAATACAAAAGGTGATGCCTTTGTTGCCTTAATCGCCTCTCGCCTTTGTCACCATGGCGTCGCCTTTTGAAGATCGCCTCGCCACAAAGCTTAGGCGATGAAGGTTCACCTCGCCTCACCTCTCGCCACTGGCGATGAGGCGACCACCTTTCACAACACATGTAGATGTACCCTACTTTCGACTTTTCACTTATTTTAAAGCTTTTTTGGCCTAAAAGTGGAAGCTTAAATGTACTTTATAATCTTTCCAAACACCTCAAAAAATATATATACTTAAAAGTCAAAAGCACCCAAAAATAAGTTAATCTAAACGGGAAATAAATGACTTTTTAGAATCTAGGTTTCATTTTTACTTGAAGTTAGTTCTGTTTTTGTCACCAGATTCTCATTGGAAATTTCCGAAGCACCATAGACTGCTTCGAACTGCTTCCAACTGATTAACCCCCAAAAAAGATGACATTCTTATTATTGGATTAGAATTATCATTGACACAGAACATCACACTTTTACATCATTCTTCCTATGACCTTTAACCATAAAAGTAAAATGGAAACTTTGACTACGTATTGACAATAATAAAATTACAAACCAATCTTCACAAAATCCTAGGTTTCTCTGGACATCTCAAGATGTCAGTTTCTGCATATGCAACTACACAAATATGACCATTGAGAAACTCAATATTCATTCCAGAATCATCGAAACTCCATGGATTCTTCCGATGAAAACCTTGTTAAAACCCTTTTAAGAAACCCATCAATTCACAGCTGGAAAAGATGCAGCTCTATTTTACCGTTAATCATGGTGATTTCTGGTTGTAACTTAAAGGGTACGGCAATATATTGGGCTGTCTGTAATCTTTATCTTCTGCTACTCAACATGGTATGTGGGTGATAGTTCAGATGGATGGACAACTAAATCTGAGGTTACCAATTAAAAGAGTGGTAAAGAGGGATAAGAGCCATAATGATTACTATTGATGTTGAAGTAATGAATATTCTTGGGGTTCTTTGCGCTGTACCAGAGTCTTTGTCAAAGGGCAGTTCCATTCCAGGGAGATTGTTCAGTAAAAGATTCAAAGCAAAAGCAAAGATGGGCATCATTCACTCGCGAGAAACCTTGTCCGCTTTCAAATTACACGTGTCAGGGGTAGTGGATAGAGTGAAAAGCAATGAGGATCCATCTGCTAAGCTGGAGAAATGGAGCAAATACAATACAGAGGAATAATGGCTAAGAGTATTTGGTCGGAAGTCAATATTTCGGGGGTTTTGAACTTTTGCCAGAAAATTGCAATGTAGTTTATAGATCATTTTAATAAAAAATGATAACTAGAGCACTAAGAGAAAGAAAACCATACAAAGGAAGACCCGTGACAACAGCTTCACTAGATTTAGATGGAATATTTACTTTGAGAGCACAAAATCCATTGGTAAATACTTCCTGCCACTGTAAACCATGAAAATTCAACAACCAGGTGGAACTTAATTCAAAAAATTAAAAAAAGCTAAAATTTGTAACCTACAAGCATGATTTGTCACTAACTTAGTGAATCTAGCTAACTTGGTACCAGTCACCAATAGAAGATTCGAAGTGGGGGCTCGGAACAGAAGAAGCAAGAATAATGGTATTAATTTGATTTACATAATACATTCTGTTTTTTCTAATGTCAAGTGCTATGAAGAACCTTAAACTGTGCTATTTTTAAGTCCTACTTACTTCACATGCAGGTAAACTTAAAGCTGCTCAACGTTAGCTGATTTATTCTCTGAAGCTTGAGGTCCTTGAAACAATCAGTGAAGTCATGCAAAATCCTACCCCTTGTCTTATAAGTGGTCCTCTTGAGGGCTATCAGCATCAAGCAGCTCTACATATTCCCAATATTCATGCAGTATCGTCTTTGACGCCCTGTTTAGGTGTGATAGAACTCTGTATATTCTCTCACATTGAGGATGTGATCTGTCTCCTGAATAGAAATAATAAATTTTATCTTTCACTTTGATGAAGCTACCGCCTGGCGACTTTTGGACTCCTGTGTCCCTCATGATCTTTCTTGCTACCCTAGCTTCACTCCACCTACCAAGAGCAGCATATGTATTGGACACAAGGGAATAATTTCCACTATTATGTGGTTCAACTTCAGTTAGATGCTGCAGAGCTTGCTCCCCAAGTTCAACATGACCTTGGTTCCTGGCTGCAGCAAGAAGTGATCCCCAAATTGCTGCATTTGCTTCAAACGGCATCATTTTAACCATATTTGCAGCCTCGTCGAGATAACCAGCACGCCCAAAAAGATCAACCATGCAACCATAGTGTCTGATGTCAGGACTAATACCATGATTTTCTTCCATTGTCTTAAAATACAATCTGCCTTCCTCCACGAGTCCTGCATGGCTACATGCAGATAATAGTGCTATAAAGGTGACACTGTTTGGCCTAATTCCAACCATTTCCATCCGAGAAAACATGTTAATTGCTTCTCTTCCACATCCATTGACAGCCAATGCAGAAATCACCGTTGACCAAGTAACACCACTCCTAATTTCCATGCTTTCAAACAATTCTACTGCCTTCTTTACATTTCCTGATTTCGCATACATATCAATAAGTGTATTGTTAAGAGATACAGTTCTACGAAACCTGTGTTTTATAATATAACTATGGATCCATTCACCCAACTCATGCTCACCCAAGTGGGCACAAGCTGAAAGTGCAACTAACATGGTTACTTCATCAGGCTTAGCACTAACCTCCACACTCATCATTTTCCTGAAGACACCTATAGCCTGAGAAAACTGATTCCCCTGAGTGTAGCCCGCAATGATGGTAGTCCAAGAAACCACATTCTTCTCCAGCATATTAACAAACAGGTACTTGGCGGTGTCCATATCATGAGCCTTAACATAACCCGCTATCATGGCATTCCACAAACTCACATCTTTGTTACGCATTTCATCAAACACCTTACGTGCATCAGAAATGCACCCAAAAGAAGAATATATCCGTACAAGGGACGTTGCTACATGTACATCATTGTTCAATCCAGTTAAAATAGCTTCACAATGAATTTGCGTAGAGGTGATGAGACAAGTTACAGCATTCAACACAAAAGGGATAGAGTAAGTATCATGATATAAGCCAATGGTTCGAGCTTGTTTATAAAGGCAAATTGCATCTTTAGATAAATGTTGTTGTCTAGAGAAAATACTGATCAAAGTATTGTAAAGATATATGTTTGGATTTGGGTTGGAAGTGAAAATTGAATATGCATAGCTGACAAAGCCAAGGGCGGAACATTTGTGAATGAATTGGCTGAGAATGAAGTTGTCTTCATCTAAAGCACGATGTAGCATGAAGCCATGAGTTTGATAAATGTGAGTTTCGTTGCAACATTTTTTAAGCAAAGGTAAAAATGTGTCTTCTAATACAAGACTGGATTTGTGGTAGTTGTAATGGGGATGATAGAAGTTGGGTTTTAGTAGAAAATTAACAAGTTTAGAGGATGGCCACGACATTTGCTGGATTTGTGGTAGTTGTAATGGGAGTTGGATTTTAGTAGAGTATGAACAAGTTTTGAGGATGGCCTACAAAATAGCCGCAACATTTGCTTTTATAAAAAATGTGTCCTCAACAATTATATTGTCAAAGAAGGTCAATAATGGGTTCACATACGTGTGATATTTGTACAAACAACTTATACTTCTCCTAGTTTTTAAAGGAAATTTTGATCAAATAATTATTTCATATCAATTCACTAAAATAATATATTTTTAATTTTTTTTTCAAAATAATTATAATCTTTTTTCACAATAATTTTTTATAATTTATTTTATTCAAAAAAAATTTAATGACAAAAAAACAAACATTACTGTCACTGACATTTTACGGTTCAATACCTCAAAACACATGTTACAGCTCAAATATTACTTACAACAACATTTTATATTTATTATCTCCCTCATCTTCATAAGTCAATCATAGCTCCACCTTATAAATACTATGCTCCTCCATATCCATTTAAAACCTTAAGCCCCTTAAATCTTAAACTTCAATTTCTAAGAGTTCCATTTTTTCATTCATGGCATCAATCAATTTCAACTCATTCCATAGTAATTGATACAACAAGTCATCAACACTACTTTAACGGATCCTAATTTTGAGAAAAAGGAGAACCCAACTAAGGAAGAGATTGGGGAGAATGTGAATTTTTTGCTGAGTTTGAGAAAAAAAGTGGTTTAGTTCTTGCACTAAGCTGAAGAGATTGCTGATAAAATCAATGACTTTGAGCTTCAAGAGAAAGCCCAAAGGTTTAGTTTTAAAATTAGCTATAAAATGGGCTTTAGGTTAACGTATTGTAAAACGTTATTGATATTAACATGAGAAAATTAAGGGAAATGTGTCAAATAAGTCTTGTTTTTGTTTGACAGATTGACTATGAGTTGGTCAAATGCTCTTTAAAATGTAATTAAGTAAATTTGGGATCAAATTAATATTTTTAAAATTTTCTAATCTTTTATAAAATACAAAAAAACACACTTTTAATTCAAACCAAACCACTTAAAAAGAAAAATCTTTTTATCTTACTCCTGTCTTCTCTCTCTTTTTTTCTTCCTCTCTTTGGGGATAGTTCTTCTTTTTCCTTATAAATTCGGAAATTCGTCGTTACTCTTTCTCTCCATTCATTACTCTTCCTCTCCAGTCCTCCATTACTCTCTTATTTTTTTGAATTGTATTCGTGTTCGACTGGAAATGGGTAAATTATTTTTTTGAAATTTTTGGAAGTTTTTTTCTTGGATTAATGAACAATAAAACGTTCTGTAGATGTAAAAATTGAATAATCGACTTAATGGTGTGTATTATTTATTATTTTTGAAAGAAGATCAGTCAACTCAAAAAATCCTTATTTTGAGGATATGTATATGTATTGTTATCATGTAGTGAAAAGTCATTTTTTTTTGTTGTCTTTTTCTGGTCATTTTGTTGATATGATTTTAGAAATATAATGTTGTTCAGGCGTCCAAAATATATTTCATTTGTTGAAATATTTAGCATATGTTGTAACATTTTAGTGATATGTTGGTGCATATTCAAACAGTTATCATATGTTGTAACATCTCACTTTATGTCAACAAAATGATCATCTGTTACCACATAAGATTCAAATATTGCAATAATATGTACATTTGTATCAACATATGATTCATCTATTGCTACATAAGATTTATATGTTGCGACAAAAATTTTATGTGTTACAACAGCAGGTACATATGTGGCAACATAATGTTAATTTATGACAACAGACTATCCATCCATTGCAACATACTGATATTATTATTTTATAATCAATTGTAAAATCTCAATATTTTTTTATTACCTTGTAGATGAAATGATACAAGAAGCTTCGTCCATGACAATAACTCAGTCTACATGTGCCCCAACAGAAAGGATATATGTGGCAACATATGTCACATAAAGAAGATATGTGACAACATATGTCACAGAAAGAAGATATGTGGCAACATATGTGACATAAAAAAGATATGTGGCAACATATATCACAGAAAGAAGATATGTGGCAACATATATCACAGAAAGAAGATATGTGGCAACATATGTCACAGAAAAAAAATATGTGGCAGCATGTGTCACAGAAAAAAGATATGTGGCAACATATGTCACAGAAAAGAGATATGTGTCAACATTTTATTTTAACCAATGTGGTGTCTTGACAACATATATAACATTTGTTGTAAAAAAATTATAAAATTATCGACATTTACCCCAATAGAAAAGATATATGTGGCAACAGATGTCACACTATGAATTATCAAAAAGAATTTAAAAAATAAAATAAAAAAGTATAAAAAGATCGTTTTGTTTCATATTTCAAATTTAATTTATTTTTACTAATTTTCGTTTTCTTTTCTCTCTTTTCTTTTTCTCGTTCCATTTTTTCTTTATAATTCAAACTGTTGTTATGTTTTCCACAATATCAGTGATAATATGTTACGATTTTCTTCTACAACAAAACGTTGTTGCCCTCATCATTTCTAGTTTATCGTTGATATCTTCTAATATAAAATAGGGATAATGTCCAAGTACCCCCTCAACCTATCCCTGAAATCTCAGAGACACACTTATACTATATTAAGGTCCTATTACCCCCCTGAACTTATTTTATTAATAATTTTTTTACCCCTTTTCGACCTACGTAGCACTAACTTGTGGGTCCAATGGTGGTTGACTTTTTTAAAAAAACTAGTGCCACGTAAGCTAAAAAGGGGTAGAAAATTACTTATAAAATAAGTTCAAGGGGTAATAGGACCTTAGTATAGTATAAATGTGTCTCTGGGATTTCAGACATAGGTTGAGGGGGTACTTGTGCATTTTTCCTATAAAATATAATAGTTATTGGTATTAATTCAAGACTTTTTAGTGGTTTTTATCACTTATTTGTTTGTAGGATGGTTAGGTTGTTATTCGTTTTGAAATATTATCTTGAAAAAATTACATTTTAAGATGTACATGTTGCCACATATGACATGTCTGTTGCAATTTTTCCAACAAAACGTGCATATGTTGTCACATATGTCACTTCAAGGTTGACTTAATCGATGATTGAGCGATTTAGGAATGAAGAAAATATCAAATTCAATCAAATTTTAGTACTTTGGACCATAATTAAGCAATAAAAATATGCTATAACACTTGGAATAACGATTTACAACGATGTTATATAACTATCATATGAAGTTACTTGATCATTGTATGATGAACTAGTGATATGATAACATTTATAAAAATAATTGATAGAATTGAGAAAGGTTGTTATATTATACTATAATTTTGTACTTAAACATGTTGTACGACTATATATTGGTGTTACATGTTGAATTATGTGACAATTTAATTGAATAAGCCCCTCAAAGACCATTTTATGATATACATATGTTGCCACATATGACATTTCTGTTGCAATTTTTCCAACAGAACATGCATATGTTGCCACATATGTCACTTTAAGAATGGGTTAATCGATAAATTGAACAATTTATGAATGGAAAAATATCAATTGGACCAAATTTTAGTACTTTAAATCACAATTAAGCAATAAAAATATGTTCTAACACTTGAAATAACGATTTATAAGGGTGTTATATAACTATCATATGTACTTACTTGATCATCGTATGATGAACTAGTGGTAAATGATAGTCTTTGTAAAAGTAATTGATTGAATTGATTAACGTTGTTGTATTAGACCATAATTTTGTACTTAGACATGTTATAAGACTATATCTTAGTGTTACATGTTGAATTAGGTGACAATTTAATTGACTTAACCCCAAAAGATGATTTTATGATATACATATGTTGCCACATATGACATTTATGTTGCAATTTTCCCAACAGAACGCAGATATGTTGCCACATATGACATTTATGTTGCAATTTTCCCAACAGAACGCGGATATGTTGCCACATATGTCATTTCAAGGATGACTTAATCGATAAATTGAGCGATTTAGGAATGAAAAAATGTCAACTTGGACAAAATTTTAGTACTTTAAACCATAATTAAGCAATAAAAATATGATATAACACTTGAAACAATGATTTACATGGGTATTACATAACTATCATATGTAGTTACTTGATAATTGTATGATGAACTAGTGGTAAATTAGTCTTTGTAAAAATAATTGATAGAATTGATGAAGGTTGTTGTATTAGACCATAATTTTGTACTTAGACATGTTATAGGACTATATATTAGTGTTACATGTTGAATTAGGTGACAATTTAATTGAATTAACCCCCAAAAGATCATTTTATGATATACATATGTTGCCACATATGACATTTCTGTTGCAATTTTCCCAACAGAACGTGCATATGTTGCCACATATGTCACTTCAATGATGACTTAATCGATAAATTAAGCAATTTAGGGATGAAAAAATAACAAATTGGACAAAATTTTAGTACTTTAAACCATAATTAAGCAATAAAAATATGATATAACACTGAAAACAATGATTTACAATGGTATTATATAACTATCATGTCAATTGAGACATGCAAGTCAGATATTGCTACATATATCTAGCTTATATGTTGCAACATTTGTCAATTTTGTTGCTATTGAAATAACCAATCCGTTGCTACATATGACTATAGTTTGTTTCAATAGTCAATTGTTGCAATATATTACAATCTGTTGGAAACGCGAACACAAATTATTGAAAAAATTGCAGGTGCTCAAATGATATGAATGATTTCAAAGAACTATTAATTTTACATATCAAAACAATTGTGTGTGACCCTAATCATTTATGAAGCAATTTTAGTTGAGAGCAACCAAAATCTAATCCATTCATTAAATTAGTTAAATCTGATTCAAGAAGAAGAAAAGAAGAAAGCTGAAGGACTAGCAACCAAGACCAATAATGTACGAAAAGAAGAAGAAAAAGATAAAGAGAACGAGACGAAAGACAGGCAAGCAAGCAAGAACGATGAAGAAGAAGAAGAGGAAGAAGAAAATATAATGAGAGGTGAGGGAAAATATTTTATTTCCCCTTGTGATACAACTTGCTGGCGGCTTCCCCCAATTTTAAATCCCACCAAAATTGGTTAA